GGTTTCCGAGGCTGTAAATCTTTACGGGAGCAGAAAGCCTCATCTTTCTCCCGCAGAACAGCTGGTAGTTCCGAACTGCTGACTGTGAGGTTAGCAGCCCGATTCGTTTTTAGGGACCCATAAAGGGCCTTGGGGAGTCTAAGAACTGCAGAGTAGCTGACAGTCAATAAGCTGGCTTGGCAAGCATGCTGGTCCCTGAACACATTAGCTTCTGTATTATGCTTATTACTTGCTTTCAAATCCTGGTAATAACCATTCCGGAAGAGGAGTGGGATGGGTCTTCACAGCCTGGAATTCCTCCCCCGAGGAACTAGGCCTTGTCCAGCTGCTCCCCTGGACATCAGAACAACCAGAGGCAAGATAGAGAGTCCAGCACTGGTTAGGACAGGGATGTCGCTCTAGGCCTGACTTCATGTAGTGGTCCTACAATTGTGAGCTACAGTCTGGGGATGGGTGGGTGAGGTTTGTCCAGGATCTGTCCTGGGGCAGGAGCCAGTGCCACACTGCCCCTGTGCTGTGACCGAGGAGACCAGCCAGTCCCCTCGTAGCTCATGTCCAGAAGTCCAAAGTCCACCTTTGCCCTTGGTCCTCCACCGCCTCTGGGGCAGGGCACTTACATGCCATCCTGAGGCTCCCTTTCCTGAGCTACAGAAGAGGGATGAGGACCCTGGGGCAGCCTGCAAACACCTGCACAGAGACTTATGAAAAAAGTGACTTTATTCTGAGCTTCCACAGTGGGCAGGCTGTGGACTGGCATGTAGGAGTTACACGGAGGAACAGTTTTAGGAGACTCTCGGTGGCTGCAATCATCCTTCAATGTCCCCAGAGGGGCTTTAACCAGACTGACCCACTAGGAGGCTGGGGTCATGGGGCTGCAGAGAGAGTCCCTGCCTTATGGGGAAAGACTCCTGAGACCCTTCCTAGAGGACCCCTCCATTTCAGTGACCATATCCTCAATCTTATGGTCTCTGGTTCGCAATGGACCTTTTGAAATTTGGAAGTCCCTGAGTGTGCAAACGGTTAACATGTTCGACAGCTAACAGAAAGGTATGAGGTTCATGTTCACCCAGAGGTGTCTTGGAACAAAGTCCAGACAATCTACTTTCCCAAACATTGCAGTCCTTAACAACCCTGTGAAGCATGGTTCTACTCTGACACACATGGAGTTTCCATGAGGCCTACTCAATGCCAGCTGGTTTGGGTTCCTGGTATGATTTTTCAAAGAATCAAATGTTTTGGGAAGAGCTACAAGGTGAGAGAATTCATTCTTGCATTAAAACACGAGTCAGGGTTCTCAAATGGAGGCTGCTCAGTGGGCATGTGGTATCTGCGTGTCCCTTGCCCACAGAAGCACTAGGAGGAGACACTCATGCTGGCACGGGGGCATTTGGACAAATGATTCACACACACACACTTTAACTTCTTCCTGCCAATGTCCAGAGTTCTGCTGTAACCACCCCTCACAATGCTTCAGATTCTCCAACTTTCCCCAAAACATTTGAGCAGTTTCAGAAATAGACCTTGTGATTCCTGAGCCAGCCCCAACTTCCTCCAGAGAGTAAAAGCTGGCTGGTGAGTAAACAACAGCTTTTCCCAGCCTGGTCTACAGCAGGTAAGCCCATGCAAACTAGGCATCTGCTCATACATCTCCTCCTCAAGACTCTTGGAGCACTAGAGTGAGTCCACAGATCCTGGGAGAGCAGAGCAGCACAGGAAAGTTAGGACTGCTTTCCTCCTTAGTGTCTAACGCTAGAATCCTGAAATCCAGACGGACCCACCGAGAGCTCTCTCCTCCTAGGGTGCAGATAAGGTGAAACCATGTCACTGTGTGATCCTCAACATCCACTCCAGATGGCAGGGCCCAGTGCCAGCCTGACTTGCAAGCATGTCATATTTTGAGCGGCACTTCTTCATTTCCCAGGATAGAGTGGGTGGTGCTCACAGCAGAATCAAGGTCCCCAGGCAGGACCCGAAGCTGTGCTCTGCATGTGTGGGGAAAAAGTCACAGGCAGCAGTCAGTGGGCAGGGTCTCTGGTGGGGGTGGGGCTCTGCAGCTGCTGAGGGTCTAAAGACATTAGGGTCCCAAGAGTGCCTCTTGCAGGCACCGTAGGGATCCAGGGCCCACCATTGTTGTTGTTGTTAAGTGCTGTGGTGTCAGTTCCAACTCATAGTGACCCTGTATAGTGTTTTCAAGGAGCAGGTGATGAGTTTGAATCATCGACCTTGAGGTTCAAATCAACCTTGCAGTCCAGTGCATTATCCTTCATCATCAGGCTCTGGAATCAGGAAGGGCTGGCAGCCCTAGAGGGCCCCAAGTAGCAGGGTTTTCAAGTAGCAGGTGGTGAGTTTGAACCATCGACCTTGAGGTTCAAATCAACCTTGCAGTCTAGTGCATTATCCTTCATCACCGGGCTCTGGAATCAGAAAGGGCTGGCAGCCCTAGAGGGCCCCATTCAGTCCACTGGGCAGGAGGGCAGCCATGTGCAAGACAAGCAGGTGGCCGAGGCAGGACCTGCTGGGATGGCCCAGACTTGACTTTTCTTTTTCTTTTTTTTTGAAAGTTTGTTTTTTATTGAAAAATAAAAACCCAAACATAACCAAATTTCATTTTGATCCCAAATTTGAAACAAGCATATTTACACACATAGATACATATATGTTGTTGTTACATGCCGTGGAGTCGGTTCCAACTCATAACGACCCTGTACAGGGTTTCCGAGGCTGTAAATCTTTGCGGGAGCAGAAATCCTCATCTTTCTCCCGCAGAACAGCTGGTAGTTTCGAACTGCTGACCTTGTGGTTCGCAGTCCGATTTGTAACCACTACGCTATACATACATACATACATATATAATTATTTATAACAAATCTCAACATTACAATGTTAAGCCATTAACAAGACGTTGCATAGTTGATTACCATAATTTTGTATAATATTTTAAACTGAATAACACTGAGCTTTTCCTATTAAGAAATGAAATCTTTTTAAAACCACAATGAAATAATATAACTAAAAGGTGAAAACAGTTCTGTATCATTCTGTATCATGGATTCCCTACATGTTTCAATTATAATAGACATTTTTCAATTACTGAAGTCTATAGGAGACGTTTGGAGCCATACAATTCCATTATTGGGAATCGATGAGATGAGAAAGATATAACAAAACACAAGAAAAGCTAAATAAATAATTTATGTCAAATGCTGAGCAAATAATTATCATGTAAGTACAGATAGCAAATCTTTAAATTTGACATAAAATGGAGTTTAATTTCAGAACATTTCCAATTACTATCATCAAAGAAATCAAACTCTATATTGCATTCTCTATCCAGACAAACTAGCAACGGAAGTATGGTGAAGGATAAAAAGGAATGTTACTTTTGTCCAGATTTCATAATATTTAAAACTGAGAAGCACATGTTCATAAGAAAACGGCTTCTTTCAAGTTTCTAATAAGTACAGTTATTAAAGAAATTAAGACATGTATGTTTCTGTAAGGGTGGGGAATAGCTAGACAAAACTTCGGATGCTTCGTTATAGCAATATAATATGACATGACAAGAGACACACTCAAGCTTTCACATAACTCTAACTCTCGACATGACAAAGAGAGGCATAGTTTGATGTTGTTGTTGTTGTTGTTAGGTGTCATCAAGTCGGAACCGACTCAGTGACCCCATGCACAGCAGAACCAAACAATGTCCGATCCTGTATAACAAGATCTTATTATATAAGTAAGTTTGGGGCTTCAAAACGTCTGTGGATAAACGCAATAGAAAGATATAGACATGTGAACATTAAACAACAAACAAGAATAATTCACAATAAAATACTAGAATTTGAACTTTAGTCCATTTGATGGTCTTAACCACATATAAATGTTAGTATTTTTCTTATCTGAGAATATGAAAGAAAAACAAGATCTGTATTTGATGTACTGAAGTTCAAAGGTAAGTTGATAGGGATCTCCCAAATATGCTTAATTGAAAGGACACTTCAATAAAATGAACTGTAGGTTGTATCATGTCCCATAATGCACTGCAGTGTGGAGTCCTGGTGTGGCGCTGTGGGTTACTGCCCCAGACTGCAAAGCCATTTGAACTGCAAGGTTGGCAGTTCAAACTCACCAGCCGCTCCTTGGAAACCCTATCCAGGGTCGCTATGGGTCGGAACCGACTCGATGGCACTTAACAACAACAGCAACATAATGCACTGTATTGTTCTTCGTGAGTCAGTATACATTACAAAATGACTTAATAAGCGTTGGACAAGTTTCATAATAAAACTGTGGAGCTCACGGATATGAAGGCACAATCACTTACGTTTTGGACCCAATACATCACAGAGCCCAAGCTGCCTGCTGAGCTGATTCCGAGTCAGAGCGAGGTTGCAGGACAGAGCAGAACTGCCCTACGGAGCCTCAAGGCCGCCATCTTTACGGAAGCCTGCAGGACAGAGCAGAACTGCCCTACGGAGCCTCAAGGCCGCCATCTTTACGGAAGCCTGCAGGACAGAGCAGAACTGCCCTACAGAGGCCCACGGCCGCCATCTTTAGGGAAGCCGCAACTTTCTCCTGTGGAGAGACTGGTGGTTCAAATGAGGTGCCAAGAGCTTTAACTTCAGTGTCACCAGGGTGCCTTGCACTCGAGATCAGGTCTCTTTCAATAACAAATGAAGTAATACAGTATTCTTTCAGTTTATTGAACAGATATAATGAGGCCAATAGCCATCACCTCCCAGGACGCCACACACCTTTACTTCCTGCTTCTCTGGCTGTGGGTCCCCAGCAGCTCACAGATACCTCGCCCCAGGAGGAGCCTTGAACCCAAACTCTCCTAGATCTCACAGAAACCTGGTGCGCTCCCAGAATCAGGCGGACTTCTTACACAACTGAGGTTTTATAGTTGGCTGTTGGCTTTGATCTTGACCTGGTTTAGAACTGCACGGTACAGGTGTGCTCTGAAGGCAACCGAGTTTAAAATTCCAGCGATAGCTAACCTCGGTGTCTGCCACCATGCGATGATGATTGTTCATGCGAGTTCTGGCGGCGGGCGCCCGGGGACCCCGCGGCCGTCACATCCTGCGTCGCGCTGCTGGGACAGGGTGGGGGTGGGGGTGCCGCGGATGGCTTCCTGCGCTCGCTCGCCTTTAGTTTGACCTTTCCTTCCAGTGTGTCTGAGGGAGAGTGACTGCGCGTGCGCATGTGCCTTTGACTTTTCTTTTGACTGAGGAGAAACCACCATAGGTTGTGGCTCCACATGGGCCACGTTTATAGTAGCCAGGGGCCTGCACCCCGCCCTCAGGGGTGGCTACGGTGGGGAGGGTGTGCCTAGTCCCCAGGGCTCCTGGAGGTGTTCCACTTGGCAGAGGCACAGGCAGAGTCTGCAGCGCCAGAAAACATGGCTTCAGATCCAGCCTCCTGGGAATGTCTCTTGGGTATAATAAGCCCAGGGTCCTATGAGGGCTGGGTGGGGCAGCTAGGTAAAATGCCAATGGAGAACTCAGAACCACTCTGTGTTGATGATCTACAATCGGTGCTAGATGCTGAAAACTCAGTCCAGTCCAGCTGGGCCTCTGCTCCTCAACGTGGTTCCCCAACTGGCCTTCCAACACCAGGCCAGGTCAGGCCTCACTTCTCCGAGGTGGTCGAGGGCAAGGGTTCCTTCTTCCCTTCCTCCTCTACTGAGAACATGACATCCCCATAGCTGCCCAGAGGTGGTTCTGTTTCCTGCTCTGGGTAGTGGGGGGCATGGTCCACCTCCAGCTCCTCCTCCAACTTGGACTCCACCGGCACTGCCACCACCCGGCTCTCAGGCACCTCGGTGTTCACCGTCCCCACAATTACTGTGTCAGCCTTCATAATGTAGATTTGTTCTGCAATACAAAGGGAGGGGTGAGCGGATGAGAGACCAGAGCCCAGCCGGGTTGGCAGCAAGGAGGAGGAGGAAGGTTGAGTCTCAGGTACCAGCAATGGCACTCCTGGTCCGTGGGACCCCAAGCAGGTGACACAGTTTTTTGGGTTCAGTAAGCATCACCCATCTTACAGGTGAACTAAGGCTCAGAAAAAGCAGCTAGGAAGTGGGTCTCTGAGGAGTTCTAAAGGACTAATCAGTGCCTGTGGGAGAAAACACACAAAAAAATAGCAGGTACCAAAAAGACCAGGCTTATTGGTCAGAACGAGACTGGTAAAAAAAAAACCCAAGACTCTGGTCCTCAGTCATCCAGCAAGCTTAGAATGAAACTCACCCCCTTGGCTCAACTTTCAGTCAAACAGCCGATGAGCAATAATACCAGGAAGGTGCGTTCATTAGAAGAATCGCCCATACTGGACCAGAGGGCAGCATTGCCCTGGAACAACACTCAGAAGACAGGAAGGGACAGGGCAGAAGGATGAATGAAAACAGCAAACACAGGAAGGAAGTGCAAAAAGTTCTGTTACATTGTGAGGCTTGCAATCAATGTCACAAATCATAACGTGTATGAATTGTTTAATGAAATACCAATGTGCTCTGTAAACGTCTACCCAAGTCACAAGTCAAGGGAAAACAGAAAATCAGCAGACACTGACTACAGAACGGTGTGTGAGGACGAGTACACGAACTCCTGGAGGCACGATCCTTAGTTTACAGGTAAACAAGCTGCCCACAGTCATCAGGTTCTTAGCAGAAGTCACAAAAGAAATTCCCATCCTGCCTGGCTGCCCCTTCTGCTCCCTGGGGCAGAATGGGGCAGGGGCTGGGTAGACAGCCTGCCTTCTTCTCTGCCCACAAGCTCATGGGCAGGGCCTGTCCATGTGCCTAAAGCACAAACCTAGTGGTCTAACTCATCCTGGTTTGCCTGGGACTTTCCTGGGTGTCAGTACTGAAAGTCCCTGGTCCCAGGATCTTCCTCAGTCCCGGCCAAAGCAGGACAACTAGTCACCCTACAGAAAACTTTATAATTGTTGTTGTTAGGTGCCGTAGCATCGGTTCCAACTCATAGCAACCCCTTATAGGGTTTCTGAGGAGTGGCTGATGAGTTCAGTCTAGTGCTTATCCTACAGTGCCACACCAGAACTCCAGAATCCTGCTCTGGGCCTATATATGTCAGCATTTATGGCTTACTGCTGGTCTTTCAACTGTTTCCTTCATAGCTGAGCTTACCTGGACCATAGTAGGTAAGTATCTCTTGGATTAGTGTCAGAGCCCACCCCATAAAGGCACAATCCCATGTAATCCACACTACAATTTAAACAAAGACTACTGCCCAAGAAAGCGGGAAGTGGGGAATCTTGGGCCTCTTCCAAGTTACCACCTCAAGCTTGGGGAGGGCAGGTCTCCTCACTGCTCTGCTCAGGGGCTCAGGAGGCTGAATGGGGAAGCTCTAGGCCGAAGTGTAGAGCTGGGGTAGGTGGAGACCAGAGACCCCCTACTTCTTTGAGTAACCTGGTTATACTCCTCCAAAAAGATTCTCAAGGCTTCCTGCACCCTTTGTTCCATTGCACAATGGAAACAGGGAAAGAGAGAAGTTCCAAAATAGAAGCAGGAACTCCTGGGAAGCTAAGGGGTTGGGCAAGTCAACGTGTTGGGCCCCCTGAGCCCAGAGAGAGAGACACAGGGCAGGGCCTCAGGCCCCAGCTATCTGCCCTTCACCAGCACTCACCCTGGGAACCCTGGCTGCAGGGACTGGACAAAACAGTTTTCAGAGGTGGTGAGAAAAGGCCGTCCAGGAGGCTAGAGAGGGCACAGAGGCTAGAGGAGGGCAGATGGGCAAGGGGCATAGAGAAGGAGAGAGAAGCTGGCAGAGGAAGAGACCTGGGCATGGTGAAGGTGTGGGAGGTATTTAGGTAGAAGAACCCAAGCTAGGGGCCACCCACGAGTCTTCTGACTTTGCCCTCATTGCAGTTGGGGAAGGGATTCCTCCAAAAGCTACTTGGACTTCCTGCCCCACTCAGGGCTTCAGAATTCAGGGAAGTTGCTTTGGTGGGGTAGAGGGTACAGGTGGCAGGAAGGGGGGTACTCCCTGCCTAGCACCTAAGAGAAGGGGAACAAAACCCCTCAGCTCTTCCCCAGCCCTCACCTCCCCTCCTGAGAAGAAGAGCCATAAGCTCAGACCCAAGACTGGTCACTCCTAGAAAATGGGATGTAAAAATGTGCCTCTAGGTGATATTGGGAGGACAAGGGGTCCCCTATCTCTGGGGTGCCCAAGAAAGCCCGAAGGCCTTCCCTCCCTTGGTGATAGAGGGAGGTACTACCATCTCTCTTACCAGAAGGCTTCAGGAAGGCTGTTCAGGCCCTGACTCCCCAGGAACCTTCTAGCTCTTCATCCCCGTAAATGCCCAAGCCCACTCACAGAGTACCAGGCACTGCACTCAGTGAAGACCAAATGTTCAAGTCATCATGGTGTCACTAAGAGGATTCCGGGGGCACAGACTACACGGGGTGATACTTTTTGACTCTTTTGTGGTGCTATGGGTTAATGCACCGGATTGCAAAGTTGGTTTGAACCACAGGTCGGTGGTTTAAGCTCACCAGTCGCTCCTTCTCAGAAATACTGGTTATGAGTTGGAACTGACTCCATAGCACTTCCCAACAACAGTAGTCATGGGCCAAACTATCACGATTTCTCAATGACAGTGATGCTTCACATCCCGTGGTTCCATCTGCACGTGCTAAAAGCACATGCTGGGTTTTTTTTCATTGGTGCCGGTGTTTTTATAGTCACTGATTTTGTCCAGTTTTCTGGTTTTAGCTACAATATTGTGGTAATTAGTATTTGTGGGATATCAGTAACTCCTTTAAGAATGAAGTCATAATTAAAGAAAAAAAAATCAAAAAAGGCTTCTGCTCTGTTACTAATAAGGAACTTTGGTAGCATAGTGGTTACGAGTCGGCCCGCTAACCTAAAGGACAGCAGTTTGAAACTACTAGCTGTTCTGTGGGAGAAAGATGAGGTGGTCTGCTCCCGTAAAGATTTACAGCCTCAGAAATCCCATACAAGTTCATATGAGTCGGAACCAACTCCATGTCACATAGCCACCACCAACCACCAGTTACTAATAGTCTTGTAACTAAAAATGTTTCTATTCAATGTAGAAAGATGTTATGAAACAATGTTATTTTTAGTAATCATTTAATCTAAGAAATATGAGCCCTGGTATGGTGCTGTAGGATAAGCACTGAACTGCTGAACTGTAAGATTGGCAATTCAAACCCACCAGTTGTTCTCAGAAACTCTATGTTGTTGTGTTATGTGTGGTGGAATCAGTTCTGACTCATAGTGACCCTGTATAGGGTTTCTGAGGAGCAGCTGGTGAGGCTGAACTACCAATTCTGTGGTTCAAAACGACCGTATGGTCGAGAGCATACCAGAACTCCTGGAAACCCTATACAGGGTTGCTTTCAGTTGGAACCGACCCAACAGCACATAAGAAAAAGAAGAAACAGTACATGTAAGCAATTCCTAATTATACTTATTCTGTGATTATTCTGGAGTCCTGGTGCAGTACTGCAGGATAAGCACTGAACTGATAACCGCAAAATCAGCAATTCAAATCCATTATCCACTCCTCAAAGACCCTATACAGGATTGTGTGAGTTGGAATTGACTCGCTGGCACTTAACAACAACATATTTATTCTATGATTATGTTGTTGTTGTTGTTAAGTACCATGGAGTCAGTTCCAACTCATAGTGACCCTGCACAGGGTTTCTGTTCTGAGGCTGTAAATCTTTACAGGAGCAAAATGCCTCATCTTTCTCCCGTGGAACTGCTGGTAGTTTCGAACTGCCGACCTTCAGGTGAGCAGCCTGATTTGTAACCACTATGCTACCAGAGCAACTATGATTATAGTTGGTAGTAAACATTACTAATGCTCTGTGTGGTCTGGTCATGGGAAAAGGTCCACATCAGAAGTCACTGTCCTGGAGAATATCACCAGTAATGACACCACTGAAATTAGGACTTCTTAGGAAACCTGAAGGAGAAGTTTTGGACGGTATTTTCCAAAATACTTCGCCACCACCTTCCCCCAAATAAAGCTTGTTGGAAGCTGTAATTACAATCCACTAGTGGCACTGTAGGTTAATGCCCCAGACTACAAAGCCATTTGAACTGCAAGGTCGGCGGTTCAAACTGACCAGCTGCTCCTTGGAAACCCTATACAGGGTCGCTATGGGTCAGAATTGACTCGACGGCACTTGACAACAACTTGCATGTCAGTTTGTCGTACTGTGGTGGCTTGTGAGTTGCTGTGATTCTGGAAGCTATGCCAACGGTATTTTAAATACCAGCAGGGTCACCCATGGTGGACAGGTTTCAGATAAGCTTCCAGATGAAAACAGACTAGGAAGAAGGACAGACAGACTACTTCCGGCTATTTAGTCACTGAAACCCTTATGAGTAGCAGTGGAACACTGTCAGCACCAGAATATTGAATACTGAAACATGATGCAGAGCAGCAGAATATTGTCAGATATAATGCCGGAAGATGAGCCCCTCAGGTTGGAAGGTACTCAAAATGCCACTGGGGAAGAGCTGCCTCTTCAAAATAAGAGTTGACTATAGCAGATCCATACTTAGGCCCATTCCAAAGAAAGATGATCCAAAACAATGCTGAAATTATCAATTAATATCACACACAAGTGAAATTTTGCTTAAGATGATTCAGAAACATTTGTAGCAATATATCAACAAGAAACTGCCAGAAATCTAAGTCAGATTCAGAAGAGAAGGTAGAATAGCAGATACCATTGTTGATAGTAGATGGATCTGGGCTGATAGCAGAGTTTATTATTGACTAAGTAAAGGCATTCAGTTGTGTAGGTCACAATGGATAACACTGAAAAGAATGGGAATTCCAGAACTTATCTGTGCTCATGCAGAACCTGTAGGTAGACCAAGAAGCAGTTGTTTGAACAGGACAAGGGGATACTGCATGTTTTAAAGGTTAGATGTACATCAGAGTTGAATCCTTTCACCATACTTAGTCAGTCTATCTGCTGAGCAAACAATCTGTGAAGCTGAACTATAAAAAGAAACCCATGGCATTAGGATTGGAGGAAGTCTCATTAACAACCTGCAATATGTAGGTTGCACAACCTTGTCTGCTGAAACTGAACAAGACTTGAAGTACTTACTGTTGAAGATCAAAGACTACAGTCTTCAGTTTGTATAAAGAAAACAAAAATCTTCACAACTGGACCAATGAGCAATATCACAATAAACAGAGAAATGACTGACGCTGTCAAGGACTTCATTTTCTTGGATCCACAAACAAGAGACCATGGAAGTTGTAGTCAGAAAATCAAATGATGTATTGCCCTGGAAAAATCTGCTACAAAAGATCTCTTTAAAGTGTTAAAAGCAATGATACTACTTTGAAGACTAAGATGTGTTTTGCCCATACCCTGGTATTTTCATTTGCCTCATATGCATGCAAAAACTGAGTATCAATAAAGGATGACCAAACAGGTATTCCATTACTTACTGATAAAGTGATCTAAAACAAAGAGTTTTAACAATTCCATTACCAAATTTGGACTCTTGGTGTGACATCATACGATAAGTACTGGATGGCTAACAGAAAGGTCAGTGGTTCAAACATACCAGCTACTCCTCGGAAACCCTATGCAGGATCACTTTGAGTCGGGACTGACTTGATGGCCACTTAACAACAACATTATTTTATTCACTGAAGTCTTGGATTTGGCCGAGATCGCCCTTCACTATTCTTAGTCTCCTTGATTCTAAAGTCAAGACACATCTAATTTTTAACATATTAAAACTATTATTTGACTTTAAAAAAAAACAAAACAAAAGAGAGTTGACCGCGATGACACGAATGGAGTAAAGCTATTAGAAACTTCATTTGCTGAGGGGGCACAACTCAAAATGAAAGGAAACCAATTTAAAATCTATTAATAATTGGAATATGAAATGTACTAAGTATAAACCTAGGAAAATTAGAAATTGTCAAAAATGAAATAGAAGGTATATACATCAATAACCTAGACATTACTGAGCTGAAATGGACCGGTATGACCATTTTGAATCTGACAAACACATGGTTTACTAAGCTGGGAATGACAGATTGAAGAAGTATGGTGTCACATTCATCATCAAAAAGAATATATCAAGGTCAGTCATGAAATACAATGCTATCTGTGATAAGATAATATCCATATGCCTACAAGGAAGACCAGTTAATTACCACTATTATTCAAATTTACAAACCAACCACTAAAGCCAGTGATGATGAAATTGAAGAATTCTACCAACTTCTTTACTCTGAAATTGATCAAACATGCAATTAACATGTATTAATAATTACTGGCGATCGGAATGTAAAGGTTGGAAACAAAGAAGAAGGGTCAGCAGTTGGAAAATATAGCCTTGGTGATGGAAATTATGCTGGACATCATATGATAGAATTTTGTAAGACCAGTAACTTCTTCATTGCAAATATCTTTTTTAAAACAACATAAAAGACAACTATCCACTATTTTCAATAACCTCATATGCATGTGAAAGCCGGACAGTGAATAAGGAAGACCAGAGAAGAATTGATGCCTTTGAGTTATGGTGTTGGAGGAAAATATTGAAAGTGCAATGGGCTACCAAAAGAACCAATAGATCCATTTTGGAAGAAGTGCAGCCAGAGTGCTCCTTGGAGGCCAGGATGGCCAAACTTCGTCTCTCACACTTCGGACATAGTGTCAGGAGGGACACGTCGCTGGAAAAGGATATCATGTTTGGTAAGGTGTAGGGTCAGAGAAAAAGAGGAAGACCCCCAATGAGATGGATTGGCCAAGTGGCAGCATTGGTGGACTCAAGCATGGCAACAGTAGAGAGGTTGGCCCAGGATTGGGCAGTGTTTCGTTCTGCTGTGCATAAGGTCACTGTGCATAAGTACCGACTTGATGGCACCTAACAACAACAACAACAACAGCATCCACGTGGACCTCACCAGATAGGATACAAAGAAATCAAATTGACTACATCTTTGGAAAGAGACAGCGGGAAAGCTCCATATCACCAGACATAACAAGGCCAGGGACAGACTGTGGAACAGACCATCAATTGTTCATTTGCAAGTTCAGGTTGAAGCTGAAGAACATGAAAACAAATCCATGAGAGCCAAAATATGACCTTGAACATATCCCACCTGACTTTAGAGATCATCTCAAGAACAGATTTGATGCATTAGACACTGGAGACAAAAGACCAGGAGAGTGGTCTTGTGGGACGACATCAAGAACATCCTACAGGAAGAAAGCAAAAAGTCATTGAGAAGACAAGAAGTCAGAGAGACTCTGAAACTTGCTCTCCAGCATAGCTATTCTAAAGCAAATGGAAGAAGTGAGGTGGTACAAGAGCTGAATAGAAAATTTCAAAGGTCAACTCGAGAAGACAAGGGCAAATATTATTTAAAAATGTGAAAAGACCTGGAGTTAGAAAACCAAAGAGAAGAACATGCTCAGCATTTCTCAACCTGAGAGAACTTAAGAAAAAATTCAAACCTCGACTTACAGGAGTAAAGGATTCTATGGGCAAAATACAAATGAAGCAGAAAGCATCAGGTCACTATGAGTCGGTACTGACTCAATGGCACCTAACAACAACAACATATTTCCAATCATTTCCGTTTAGTATAAACGATTCTGCCCTTAAGAATTCCAGCCACTAGTATTTGCCATAGAGTGTCAGAACAAACCACTAGTCTCTCTAGAATTATCTGAGGGCCAGTTACCCCTTCAGAAAAGACAGTGGGGGGCTACAGGGTCCCTATCCCCAGGGCATCACAGCCAGGTTGCAGGAGGAGGGACAATCCTATAAACAGCTGGGCACTGTGGGACCTGGGAGGGGGGAAACCAGGGTCCGAGGTAGGGGGTAGAGCAGAGGAGCATCTGTTCTAGATGGGAAACTGGGATGGGCCAGGAAGACTTCCTGGAGGAGGAAGCACTACACAGAGCCTTGAAGGGTATCAGAAATTCACTAGATCCCAGAGGGTGGAGTTGGTTGCTCCAGGTCTGAAAGTGAGAGAGGGCTCAGTATTAGGAAACTGCCGCAACATGAAAGGATCAACCCAGAGGCCCAAGGATGGGATGTCAGAAGGGAGGGCAGGGGAGGCTGATGGGAGAAGTCAGAATCAGGACTCTGATGGTGACAGGAAAAGGCGGACTTAAGCAGGATGGTGATATGGGCAGGTGTGGATTTGGGGAAAAACACTCCAGTTGTACCAGGGTGGAGGGAGGCAAGAGAGAAGCAGAGAGACCCAACGGGTTGCGGAGGTCTGTCCTAGTTGGAGGGCAGCTTTAGTTCAGGAACTGCTGGGTGTCTAGGCTAGATCCGGCTGTGGAGTCCCTGTAACACCTCAAAGGCTAGTGGCAGTCTGGGCAAGCTTCTGAGTCCAGCAGACCCAAGTTCTAGTCCCAGCTCTGCCATTTAGCAGTTGTGTAATAGAAAAGTCATTTCGCTCCTCAGGGCTCCCATTTACCCAATTATAAAATGGAGAGAAAGACATTATCAGAAAGTTGTGTGATAAATAGGGATGACGGAATGTGTGTAACAAGTGGCAGATCTTGTAGCCACTGGTGTGTCTTCCTTGTGTCCCTGTGAAGGGCTGGCTCTTTGTTAGAGTAATGCAGGGGCAACAGCCGCTTTGCATTCAATGACAGCAGGCACCAGGCTGGGAACTTTGTGTGCACTGCTTCATTAAACCTTCACAAAAGCCCTGTGAAGTTAATAGATGAAGTGAAGCCAGCTGTGCTGCACAGGAAATACTGTTATTTAACACTTCCACAATATTTAGGGGTCCTGGTAACACTGTGGTTAAGCATTTGGCTGCTAAACAAAAGGTCAGTGGTTCGAACCCTTCCGGCACTCTGAGGGAGAAAGATATGACCGTCTTAATTCAGTAAAGATTTACAGTCTCGGAAACCCTAGAGAGCAAGTGTACTCTGTCCTACAGGGTCATGAGGGACTCGTTGGCAAAGAATTTGATTTAGTTGGGGTTTTCACAAAAATCATGTCCTAATTCTTGCCTGAGGCCTAGGACCCAGCGCCATTTCCCCCCCACCCTACCCACTACCCCTTTGACTCTGTTCCCACTGGAACCCCCAACCAACCAACTCACCAATCTTGTTATTGGTGTGCTCTGAGGTCACCCGGGGCTCAGGGAGGTCCCGAGGAGTTGAAGGTCCCTCAGTTGGGCTGGCCCCCAGCAGCCTCTGGCTCTCTAGGCAGGCTGTACTCACACTGGGGCAGGTGTCCACAGCCATGGTGCACATCAATCCCCGCTCTTCTGGGCCTAGTTCTGCCACAGACATGCTCCGGCAGTGCTGCTAGGACACAAGGAAGTGGGTGTTGATGGAGGGTACCCCAATCTTTTCTTTGTTTGTGTTGCTTTGAACTTGGACTGATAACAAGACTAACAGCCAACAACTTATATGGTGCTTACCCTGTACCTGGCCCTGTTCTAAGTCCTTGACATTTATCAATCCTCAACAATCACTCCAGGTAATAGTGGCATCTTCCCATTTTACAAATCAGGAAACTGAGGCCCAGAGGAGGCAAGTAACTTGTTCAGGGTTAAACAGAAAATATCTGGGCCAGACTGGAACCTTGACAGTCTTACTCTAGAAAAGTCTGTAAGGCCAGCTCTGGACTCAACTGCCTTCTGGAAGCCCTCCAACACCACTAGTCTCTGGTTCCCAGTGACACTGCAGGAATGAACCACATTCACTGGAGACCCTTGCATACAAGAGCCTGGCCCTGTGCCTTCTGAGCTGACCTCTCCCCGACTCTGGTCCAGGGCAGGGTGCCTGGCTAAGTTGTGCGGTTGTAAGAATCAGTGGTAACATTTGCAAAGCCCCGGCTCCACGCATGGCACTCTGTGAGCATTGATAAAAGATAAAAAATCTTTTCACTCTTACGAGGAAGCTCAGGATGAGAAAGCACAGGCCTCGGAGTCCCACAAACCAGGATTCAAATCCATATTGATCTACTTTCCAACTGTGTGTCCTCAGGCCCCCACCTAGCCTCTCTGGGCCCCCTGTGTTTCCCCTTCTATAAAATAGGACAACAGTACCCACCTCAGACCACAGGAGAGAAAACACAAAGCAAACTGTCTAGGGCATAGGAGGGGTACAGGAGATGGTGGCTGATTCCTGGGGTGGTGTTGCAGGATGATGCACTGGAATGCAAGGTCAGTTTGAACTGCAAGGTTGGCAGTTCAAACTCACCAGCCTCTCCTTGGAAACCCTTTACAGGGTGGCTATGGGTTGGAACCAACTCAATAGCACTTTAGCAACAACAACATTGATTTCTTATCCCAACTTGGAGGAGTTATGGAGAAAGAGGGAAAATAAACACAGGCTTCCTTCTGACCAGACCTGGCACCCAGTGTGGCCCAAACCAAATCCTCCATCTGGCAGGCCTCTCTGGAAATCCCCATCAGGCTGAGCCAGGAGCTGGAGGCTGCTGTGGGGGCAGGGAGGAGGGCTGGCTCCCTGGGCGGAGAGTTCCCTGCAGTGGGGCAGACCTAGCTTGAGGCAGGGAAACTTCTTCCCAGGCTGTTTGGGAGCATTGACTCATCCCACAGGTCACAGTTAGGAAAGAAGTCAGATTTAGGGGCATGAAGTTGGAGCAGGGGAATGGCTGCTTACTGTGGGCTTCTTCCCAGTCCTGGAATCTGCAAAAAAAGAAAAAAGCAAGAGTTATGAGGTCCCCACAGACACCCCCCTCAGCCTGTTGGCACTAGGCCCCTGGATGGTCAGTATTGCTGAGCTCTGCCCAGCAGCCAGGTCCTTTGGTCTGCAGAGCAGTGGACATGTTGGAGATTCAGTATTCCCAGCTGTGCAGGTCTGGGGCACAGGCCTCCCCAGTGGCAGTGATGACATGGATAGCTCTGGGGAACCACCGTCCTCTGGATGTGACTCAGCTGAAGTGGACTCAGCTGATCAACCCACCAAGACACACTCCCCTCAAACATACACACAGGGGCACAGAAGTGGTCCTCAAAGACACACAGTAATGGGAGGCATAGAAGTGGCCCACTCAACCAAAGCCAAGGTTTCTATGGGGTCAGAAGTGGATCTAGGAAAATCAAAGCCCCCAAAGTTCCAAGCAGAACTCACAGGGAAGCCCTCTCCATGGGAGACAGAGATGGGCGAAAGCCTTAGGACCTCAGCTGGACACTGTGTCCAGACATGCCTGAGGTCAGTCCACTCTGGGGCCTTTTTGGCTCAAGCCAGCCTGGGTTCAGTTTCTTATTAACTTTCTACAGTTTCTCAGTCACCCCACTTCCCTTGACTTTTGTGGGCTCATGGGGTATTTAATTGGAGTCTTAGGGTTCAGCTTTGATCGTCCCTTTATCAGCCCCTACTCTCCACTCCAATTTTCTTTCCTATTAAACAGGGTGCCAGGTCATGGTCAGGAGTACACTAACATTTAACCATGACCCACTGGCCTTCCAAAAATACTGAAGAGGGTGCCCAAGTGGCGAATCTATCCATGAGCAAATCAAGCCCCAGTTGTAGCATTTAACAACACCCAAGAAGGCCATCTACAGATTCTTGGGAGTATGTTTTGTTAGGTGCACATGCCTGACTAGAGAAATTGGCCACAAGTTGCCTGTGTGTGCAGCTAAGTCACCTTCAGAACAGACCATCAGCTCTGGAGAGCTATGGGCTCCCAGCTGAAACACTCCCCGAAGGCCAATCAACCAAAATAACACAGGTAAGACTGGCAGCTTGAAGGTGCTACTGAAACACCAGGTGAGTTTGGGAAACGCTCTTATCAATGGAAACAGCTTTGAAGTAGAAGTGATCAGCAGCAGGAAGACAGCATCTAGTGGAGAAAGAGCAGAATGATGACTTGTCATTCAATGACATCGGTCAAGTCCTAACCCCTCCTACCTGAGAATGTGACCTTGTTTGCAAACAGGGTCTCTGCAAGTCAAGATGAGCCCAAACCCATTGCCATACAGTCCATTCAGACTCATAGTGGGACAGAACAGGGTTTCCAAGAATGTCATCTTTATGGGGAACAGACTGACACATCGTTCTCCCACATAGCAGCTGGTGGGTTTGAACCACCAACCTTTTAGTTAGCTGTCAAGCACTTCACCATTGTGCCACCAGGGCTCCTTAAATTAAGATGAAGTGAGTCTTAACCAATATAACCGATGTTCTTATAAACAGAGAAGAGATCCAAAGACAAGGAAGACAGCCATGTGGAAACACACATAGAGATTAGCCAAGGATGCTAATCTCTGGTAGCCTTGGCACTAGGCCCCTGGATGGTCAGATTAGCCAAGGCTACCAGAAGCTTAAAGAGACAAAGAAGGATCCTCTCCAAGCAGAGGTAGTTGTTGTGTTGTTGTTGAGTGAAATCGAGTCAGTTCCGACTCATAACAACCCTATATAAGGTTTCTAAGGAGCAACTGGTGAGTTTGAACCACCAACCTTGCCGTTCAAACTGACCTTGAGGTCGAGTGCTTATCCTATGGTACCAGACCAGTGGGGAACATTTTCTCTGCCAAAATTTATATCATTCCCAGGTCATACAAAATTATCACCTTAAAAATTAGCCTGCTGTATTTGATCAAACATTTAATTAACTCACCCCTAATGGGCTCTGGTAGCGTAGTGGTTACGAATCGGGCTGTGAACCT